ACATCTTTTCCTAAAGCTATATTGCTGAAGTCGTTGTAGCCATCACTGTAATCTCCTCCTTCCTCAGGTGTTTTAGGAATGAATAGCCACACTTATGGATTTTGGATGTTATGTCCACTCATGGCCCCCTGCCTGCCTCTGGCAGTGGGGTCAATGCAGTGAGTGCCTGCAGGTCGAGAAGCAGAAGGAGCCAGGCAGGAGGGAGCCTCAGTCATCAACTGCAGACTCTTTTCAGACTTGGAATCATTGAATGTTTTCTGTCCTGAATTTGAGTGAAACAGTGGGGCCACTCCCTGAGAACCAGGGTGACTGTCTTCCCTCTGTTCCTGAATGTTCCTTGTGCTCTGTATCCTTGGAGGGAAGGAGATGCATGGGAAGAGCCCATCCAGCTGCCGCCCTTGACAGCACTTGGGTGGACATGCCTCCTGCCTGTCTGTTAGCTTGTCTTTCTCCGGCAGCAGCAGGAAGGGTCTTAGCCTGTGTTCCCCTGTTTCATGCAATCCAGCCTCATCTTTCCTTCCCTGCTGCTGCTTTCAGTGGGCAGAGGACCCCTGGTCTCCTTGTTTCCTGCTCTCTGGGTGGAGCCGCTGGGGCTGAGGGCTCACAGAGGACCCAGAGGAACCCTAGCTTGTCTAGTTTTCTCCTCTACACCAAAGGACTAGCCAAGGAAGGGTGGCTTCTAACTTGGAGAGGGTGCTACAGTCACCTGATCCCACTGGCTGACACCTCCCTGGGAGACAGAAGGTAGGACCCATCTGTTTGTCCCAGTGTGACTAGATATCACACACACACATGCACACACACACACACACACACCCCCAATTAGCAGGTGGGAAATATATTTTTCAGGACAGACAATAAACCTGCCATTACAGCGAGGATTCTGGTGCTAATTTAGATGCAAATGGAATTGCCCAACTGGAGCTGATTACAGAAAGGTCAAGATGTCTATATGCTCAGTTTCCCTCCTGCGCTGTGCATTAAGTGGGCATGACGGCTGGGCTTGGTTCTAGCCTTCACTTTTGAGAGAGTTTTGACTTTGTAGAAGTGGAATGTGACGCACAGTGTCAACTCCTCCCTTCCCACTCACCCCCTTTTTTCAAAGAAAACAAAACCTCTATTTTGTCCATTTCTGGCAAACTTGAAATTTTCATTAAAAAATAAAAATGCACTGTTGGAGCTCTTAGGCTTGAATAAAAAGGAGTAGACTGACTGTAAATTCTGTTCAGAGAACCGATCTCAACTGTACATGCACTTCACCCAGATTCAGGCCATGCTGGGTGATGGCCTGGAGTAGAAGGAACTGGTGGGGAAAGGATGGCAGAAAGGACTGTGAATTTGTTGGGTTACTGCAGTACTACTTCAGTGGTTTTCAGATAGTTTTGACTGTAACTCATGGCCAGAAATTTATTTTATACATTTGCGTGTGTGTGTATTTTTTTATTGAACATGTAAGAAGTCACATACGTAATATATTGTATTACATATAGTTTGAAGAAAATATGTATACCAGAGTTTCACAAAACAGTAGTTACTCATGCTACGTGCAGCGTACTCTAATATTTTCCATTTGAATCTGGTCTAAACCATGAGTGGACCAATACATTGATTTTACTACCCACTTTTAGGTCTCAAACTGTTTGAAAAACACCAGTTTAAGGCATTGGTAAAGGGCACTTGGCATGAAGGAGGGCTCAGGTAAGAGCTGGTGGAGGTGGAGAAGGTGGCCAGGAAAGAGATTTCAAAGAATAGACTAAACTGGACTGGAGAGCAGTAAAATTAAGTACCTGAGTCAGAGCTCCATTCTAGACCTTGGGCTGACAAGGAAGCATGTGAAAGTGCCTAAACAGATATCCTGTTTGGGTTCATGGTTGTACCTCTCTTGTCAAGGATAATTATTTGTTTGTGGGAACCGAGTTTTCCTTAGGTCATTGCCGCCATTGCGGTCTGCCTTTAAGAAGAAAGAACGTTCCTAAGCTTTAGCATTCTTAAGCTTTATCGTTGCATATTATGTGGTAGAACCTCATTTACCGTTTCTAGTAGAATTTCTATGTAAATTCATAGCTACCTGCAGTTCTTTATAGAACAGGTCAATAAATACTGACAGTCAGCCATAAGGCAAAAGGTCCTCCTTACATCAACAGCCAATTGTCCTTCCTAATTGGACCACGAGGAGGAGGTTGCTCTCCCGTTTTGCTGGTACTTGCTCTTTGGGGCGTCAGGGGAACCTGAGTTTTACGGTCTTCCCAGCAGAGCCACCTTCCCATGGTGGTTCATCGTTAGCTTTCAAGTGATCACACTTAGGCTCTAGTCTCTTTCTCACTAAGGAGGTTACCTATTTGGAGGATTAGAGGAAGTTTCTGAGAAGTAAGGTAATGGGGCAGGAGAAGATTTTCTGGGATAAAAGGCTTCTAAGGGCTCTGAGAATATGGAGGAGGGAAGAGATGGATAGAGAATGGAACCAGATTTTCTTGGTTGGGGTATTAGTTTAAGATGAGTGTGACCTCAATTTATAAAGACTTTGCAACTTGATGCTTAATAGAATTGGGCTTTTAATATTTATAGCCTGTTATGTAAATGCCGCCCCCCCAAGTGCTTTCTTAAATCCTCTTAGCTTATAAATGACAGCTTGGATTTCTTAAAAGAAAAAAATCTTTTCATTTATCCAGCTTAAGAGTAGTAAACAATAGATGCTTAATTCCCTTCTTTCATGCCTGGCCCTGAAGACTGAGATTTAGATTCTAAAGAGTTTATTGCTGTGCTTTTGAGCTTATTACGGTCATGCGTAACTTAAGGGGGGAAAAACTCATGCCGCATTACTGATGCAGAGGCAGCTCCTGGAATTCTGTGTGACGTGTCAGCTTAGCATCACTCCATAGGTAAGTTGAAAAAACAGTATTGCAGGAACTACATGCAAGGCCCCTTTGGAATGATTAGTGCTAGTTTTTTTCTAGTGATCAAGATTGTTAGGGAATTAGATTTTTGCCTAAAGGCTTTCCCCCTTAGCTATACTGGTGACATCAGTTATTCTATAGGTCTTTATAAAGAAATATCCCCACTCACTGGGGCCTTCAGATCTCATGCAGAGAAGAGGGAGGAATTAAAAACTTAAGCTCAACTCTGACAGATGTAAATTGCTAGGTCCTTGGGGATTGTCATTTGTTCAGGAAACGCTTATTAAGTACCTTCTATGCGCTAGGCTCTTTGCATTGTGCTGGAGTAATAAAGAAAAAGTCACAGCTTGCGTCCCAGGACAGTATTACAAGTGCCGTGAGCCTGGGACTAGCGAACATGGGAAAACACAAGATAGGAGCAGTTTGTTTCAGAAGCAGGGCAGCCCACGTGAAGCACTCTTCTCGAGGTAATTTATCTGCCATGCGGTTGATGCTTACCTATTTGCTTTGCTATATTTGGGCCACGGAGAGCCCTTTACCGTTGGCCAGATGACACAGGGATGTGTTGAGTGTTCGAGGGCTCACAGGATTGGCTCTGAGCTGGGGAGCGAAGGGCTCGACGCAGTGCTCGGGCCGCTCACGGTACTGCCGGGTGAGCTGTCCATAGATTCTGAGAGTGGATTCAGATGTCCTATAGGGGCCGTGCTTAGAATAAAGAAAACAGACAGAAGTGGTTTGGTAATATCTTATCTATTTGAACGCATCTATCTAGAACATCCCTAAGAACCAAGAAATTCGTAAAAGTAATTTAAGCCTTTTTGCACAGATGCATCCACACAAGGCCTATCTACACTTATATAGCAGGTCTGGAGATGTGGTTTCTAAACTGATTTGTGGATTTTGAAGGCAGAAAAGGAGAAGAGGAATGGATTTTTAAAGGAATGGCCCAGTAACAGTATGGTAAAGTGACAGTTAATGCTTTTAAAGGGAGGAAGAAAGAAGATGGAATACTGGAAAAGAAGAGATGTAATCACTCAAAAATTATCACCATCTGTTTCGTTTAGCATCAGGTGCAGTAGACTCATGGCAGGGGAGATTTCTAAGCTTTCTAGGGTGTAAGGTTGGAATCTGAAATTTTGAACTGTTTCCCTGGTGATTTTCACGTACCCCTGTTTGAGTCTTTCTATATTACAGATGGCAAGGCAATTGATGACCCCTATGCTGCTTTTAGGAGGACGAAGAAACGTATATTAGCTCTTAAAATATTCCCAATAAACATGTATAAAATTAAAATTTTGATGCTTTAAGGATCAAATCCTCAGCTCCTTGAAAAACTTGACTGTTCAGAGGGTTCTGTTTCCTGAAAGATCAATGTTTTACTACGTGGGAAAATCACACCACATAGAAAATAGTAATCTGTATTATTAAAAAAAGTCACAGTTACTTCATAAGCAGTAAACTCTTATAGCACTTTATAAGTAATACTTATATATATATATTATTCAGTTATAAAAATTGGGCTTACAGCTTTCCAGAAACATATCTGAACATCTTGTGTTCAGCAGCATTTTGTGTCTGGACCTCTCATTTGCTATTTATTATATTATTATTTTGTTTGCTAGAGCATATATATAACCCAACTTCCTAGACAGAAAATATGTTCTTATGTCCCTAGCTCCTGTACATAGCAGATCCCAATAAAGGTTTATTGAATGACTAATAATGAAACAAGTTGTACTGAGCTTTATAATTAATCCCTTACTGACCATGGAAATACTTTCTGTTATCTTTTTTTCTCCTTTGTGATTACCCGCTAAAATCTTGATAGTGTTCGAACTGCATCTGGTAATTAGAGTCGTTGGAACACTTGAATTGCTTCTTTCTGCCTTTGCTTTTCCCTTACTGAATTAAAGGGCGGAAGCAGCATGAGGTTTTATGGAATGTGAATAGGTTATGGGCTTCAGATGGAGCTCTGAAGTGTGTTCTTGTGTCAGGCGTGTTCTTGTCTTGATGGGTTCACTGCGGTGAGGCTGGGGGCCATTGAGGAGGCATGTATCAGAGCATTGAGGGGATGCTCACCTGTGCTCACTCTGTCATTGGTCCCAGGTGACTGTGGAGGAGGTCATGACCACAACTGCATATCTGGACCTTTTTCTGCGTAGCATCTCTGAGCCAGCACTACTTGAGATCTTCCTCCGTTTTATCCTGTTGCACCAGCATGAGAACGTCCACATCCTAGATACTCTCACGAGCCGAATCAACACCCCATTTCGGGTAAGGAAGGCCCCAGAGGAAGGGAATTTATAGCTCAAGAGAGATTTCAGGAGAGTTTGTTTTTGGAATAAAATTATGAATATTCTGTTTTCTTGCAGCCATTACTTTTCTATTTGGGAAGAGATGAACTAGATAATTTGTTTTGCTATCAGGAGCCCTTCTGTCAGGGAGGTGGGAGTTACTGCCTTTCATAGGACAATTTTTCTCAATTTGTCTGGGTTGGCACTTTCTTCTGTAGAACCAGCAGAATGTGCTTCTGAGGAGACAAGGTACAGGGGAACATATGGGCTTAATTAAGTTCAGGTAAAGCCAGGGAACCAAAGTGTATCAAGTCTGGGTATTTAGAGATCATATTTCTGTCCATAAGTGTTTTGAAATGCACGTCTGGGCAGTTGTGAATTTAGGTAGTCATTCTTTAGTTTGGTGCTCTGATTAACTTTGAAAATCCTCTTATACCATTAATGTAATCCTTTGCAACCCTCTCTCCAAAGGCTGTCTATTTAAGTGCAATTATTGTTTTAAAAGCAAAGGTATATTTGAAGAAAATGAACACACTAATTTGTAAAGATACATGCATTCTAATGTTCATAGCAGCATTATTTACAATAGCGAGGATATGGAAGCAACCTAAGTGTCCATCAACAGATGAATGGATAAAGGTGTGGTATAAATATACAATGGAATATTACTCAGCCATAGAAAAAATGAAATTCTGCTATTTGCAACAGCATGGGTGGAACTAGAGGGCATTATACTGAGTGAAATAAGTCAGACAGAGAAGGACAAATATTGTGTGTTATCACTTACATGTGGAATCTAAGAAATAAAACAAATGAATGAATTTAACAAAACAGAAACAGATGTAGAGGACAAGCTGGTGGTTACCAGTGGGGAGAGGAAAGGGGAGGGGCAAGATAGAGGTAGGAGATTAAGAGGTACAAACTACTATTTATGAAATAAATAAGCTACAAGGATACATTGTACAGCACAGGGAATATAGCCAATATTTTATAACTTTAAATGGAGTATAATCTATAAAAATATTGAATCACTATGTTGTACACTTGAAACTAATATAATATTGTAAATCAACTATACTTCAGAAAAAAGCTCCATTAAAAATGCAAAAAAGGTAAAGGAATAATTAACAGTGTTATTGTTTGTAACATATGTAGATGTAATGTGTATAACAGTAATAGCACAAAGGGAGGTAAGAAGGAATAGAGCTATATAAGAGTAACATTTCTGTATTTCACTAAAATTAATTTAGTATAAATCTGAAGTAGAGTCTGATAAATTAAGATGTATATGGTAAGGTCTAGAGCAACCACTAGTAACTCAAAAAAATAGTAAAAAAATCATTAAAGGAATTAAAATGTTACTATGGGGGAAATATTCACTTAATGTAAAAGAAGACAGTAAAATAGGAATAGAGGAACAAAAAGACATCAGACATATAGAAAATAAAAAGTAAAAGGGCAGATATAAATCCAACTACAATGATAATATTAAATGTGAATAGATTAAAAATTCAGTCAAAAGGCAGAGATTGTCAGACTAGATAAAAAACAAGATCCAACTATTTGCTGCCAACTGGAGATACATTTTAGATTCAAAGATAACAGTAGATTGAAAGTTAACGGATAGAAAAAATAGGTTACACAAACAGCAACCAAAACAAAGCTGGAGTGGCTATACTAATAAGCCACAGATTAGACTTTAAAACAAGAAATGTTACTAGAGAGAAAGAGGGACATTTTATAATGATAAAGGGTCAATCCCTTGGAAAGATACAACAATTATAAATATATATGCATCTAAAAACAGAGTCCCAAAATTTATGAAGCAAAAACTGGTGGAATTTAAGGGAGAAATAGAAGATACAACAATAGTTGTGGGATATTTCAACACCTTACTTTTTTATAATAGAACAAGTAGGCAGAAGATGAATAAGGAAATAGGAGACTTGAACAATGCTATAAACCAACTAGACCTAGCGCAGTCATCTATAGAACACTCCACCCAACAGCAGCAGAATGTACATTCTTTTCAAGTGCACATGGAATGAACACTGTCCAAGATGGACCATGTGATAATCACTTTCAATGAATTTAAAGCGATTGAAATTATACCAGGTATGTTCCCTGGCCACAATGGATTGAAATTAAAATTTATTGACAGAAAGAAAATTCACAAATATGTGGAAATTAAACAGTACTCCTAAGTAACCAGTGGGTCAAAGAAGAAATCACAAGGGAAATGGGAGTGTACTTTGAGATAAATGAGAATGAAGATACAACATACCAAAACTTACGGGATGCAGTATAACACTGCCAAGAAGGAAATATATAGCTATAAACACCTACATTAAAAAAGAAGAAAAATCTCAAATCAGTAACCTAACCTTCTACTTTAAGACACTGGAAAAAGAAGAGCAAACTCAAACCAAGCAGGAGGAAGGAAATAATAAGGATTAGAGCAGAAATTAAGGAAATGAAGACTAGAAAAACAACAAAATCAATAGAAAATCACCAAAAGCAAAAGTTGGTTCTTTGACCCTCTTACACTGTTGATGGGAATGTAAATTGGTGCAGCCACTGTGGAAAATACTATGGAGGTTTCTCAAGAAAACTAAAGATAGAACTATCATATGACCCAGCAATTCTACTCCTGAGTATATATTCGAAAAAAACAGAAACACTAATTCGAAAAGATACATGCACTCCAATGTTCATAGCAGCATTATTTACATTTGCCAAGGTATGGAAGCAACCAAAGTATCCACCAACAGTTGAATGTTTAAAGAAGATGTGGTATATATATATTCAATGGAATACTAGTCAGCCATAAAAAGGGATGAAATTTTGCCATTTGCAAAATTTGGATGGACTTAGAGGGCATTATGCTAAGTGAAATAAGTCAGAGAAAGACAAATACTGTCTTAATATTACTTATATGGGGAATCTAGAAAATACAACAAACTAGTGAATAAAACAAAAAAGAAGCAGACTCACAGATATAGAGAACAAACGTGGTTACCAGTGGGGAGAGGGAAGGAAGGAAGGGCAATATAGGGGTAGGAGGGAAAAGGGATATTATGGGATTATATGGAATCAATGTGTGTGAAACTTTTGAAAATTATAAAGTACTGTAGAATTTAAAGAATCTTTCATTCAATAAAAACAAACCAAAAAACCTCAAAAAAAGGTGGTTCTTTGAAAAAGTTGACAAAATTGACAAACTTTTAGACTACTAAGAAAAAAAGTGAGAAGAGTCAAATTAGTAAAATCTAGAATGAAAGAGGGGGTATTACTGTTTGTTGACCTTATAGAACTAAAAAGGATTATATCCATTGTACCCATGGGAAGACTTGGACCAGACATAGAGAACTACTATTGCAGCCTCTGCCCAGTGGAATGATGCCTTGTCAGAGTTTATAATGAGATACACTATTCATACAGAGCAAAACTGTATAAAGCCTAAATATACAGTTTAATTGTAAAGAAAACACCATGTCATCATCATTCAGGGGAGAATGAAACATTGCCAACACCTCATAAGCCCCTCGGTAGCCCTCTCTGATTACAACCCTCTCCCTCTCCTGCAGAAATAACCATGATTCTGATTTTTGTAATAAATATGCCTTCTCTTTTCTTCATAGTTAATGACATCTGTATGCATTGATAAAAAATGTAGTTAATAAATAAATAGGATTATAAGGGAATACTGTGAACAACTGCATGCCAAAATATTGGATACATTAGGTGAAACAGGCAAATTCTAGAAAGACACAAACTTCTTTTTTTTTTTCATAGTTACTAAAATTTTACTCTTTTTTTTACATCTTTATTGGAGTATAATTGCTTTACTATGGTGTGTTAGTTTCCGCTTTACAACAAAGTGTATCAGTTATACATATACATATGTTCCCATATCTCTTCCCTCTTGTGTCTCCCTCCCTCCCACCCTCCCCATCCCACCCCTCCAGGCGGTCACAAAGCACTGAGCTGATCTCCCTGTGCTATGCGGCTGCTTCCCACTAGCTATCTACCTTACGTTTGGTAGTGTATATATGTCCATGCCTCTCTCTCACTTTGTCACAGCTTACCCTTCCCCCTCCCCATATCCTCAAGTCCATTCTCTAGTAGGTCTGTGTCTTTATTCCTGCGAAAGACACAAACTTCTGAAACTGATTCAAGAAGAAATCTAAAATCTGTAAAAAAGTAAAAACTTTTGTGTTTCAAAGGACACCATTAAGAAATTGAAAAAACAGCTGACAAAATAAGAAGAAATCTTTGCAAATCATGTGTCTGAAAAGACACTTGTATGTAGAATAATGAACTCCCTGGACTCAGTAATAAAAAGACAGATACAGGGTGCTGAGCACCCTTGACAGTGATTTGCCCAGGTTACTATGGCAACATATAGAGAGGACTCGGACTGGGGAAAGCGGGTGTTGAGTGGTAATCCTGGGAGAAAGAGAAGAAAGATTTCCTAGGAGAGGTGATGCCTACAGTCAGTCTTTGAGAATAAGTAGGGTTATCCTGCAGAGGAGACAGAGGAAGACATTCCAGGCAGAGAAACAGCACGTGCAAAGGCGTGGAAGGAACGGAATGAAGTATTTGCTTCTTCCTAACTGTAAGGTGTGACCTGTCCTGAGCACAAGAGATGTTTTGGGGCACGCCACGTACAGCTCTTTCTCTACAACACCGTTACGGATTTCATTGACCAGCTTGTAAACCTGTCCTGCCTAGCACACAGGCTCGCCCTTATTCTCCTGTACAAAGAATGAGAGCCTAAATGACTTAAGTGGCCTGATGGAGCAGCAAAAGCTTACTCCCAAAAGGCACGGTGATTATATAATGCACCTTTGGGAACCTTCTCTGTTGGACAGTTTATCTTTCCTTTTTGGAAATCAGAGACTGCAAGAAATCTTGTTTTTTAATGAACATCCTAGGAAGGTATATCCTTATCCCTCAGCACTATGGGAAATGGAACCTGGGAGAATGTTTGCCCCAAAGCCAAGAGATAAGGCAAGAAGAGCTGAGGCTTAGGGCTGAGGACTCTGGAGAGAGAGAGATGGCTGGGGTATATGCAATTTTCTGTTAGCCCTGTCTTGCAAATAACCAGTGTCGTATTTGAAAATAACTAGGAAAACAAATGACATAAGTAGGAGATGGTGTGTGTGTGTGTGTGTGTGTGTGTGTATGTGTATTGGGGAGTTGTAGGGAACATGTTTATCTGGATCTTTACAAGTTGGAAATATGAGCACAGGCATTTTATTAGGAGGGTAATTCTACATTTTTCTTAATCAAAACTGCTAAAAAAAAAAAAGGTCATTTTATTTTGTAATTCTGATTTATTTACCATCTGTGTGAAGTAGAGCTGTCCTTCCAATATCTGAAAGAGATATTTTTCTTGCTTCCCAGCTTTGTGTGGTGTCCCTGGCATTATTTAGAACTCTCATCGGTTTACATTGTGAAGATGTGATGTTACAACTAATTCTAAGGTGAGTTGCCATCTTTTGTTCCCTTTAAAGGAAAGCTCTACACTATCGCTATTACATTTTTCTTTGGTAATGTAAGTGAAGTAAGGGCCATGCTTCTAAGAAAGAAAATCCTCGAGCAAATCAATTTAATTTCTGCATTATTTCCCAAGGTTAATTTTCGTTTTACTGTTAACAGTTTTTAGGGGGCCAAAGGCGTTATATTATACATGTGCTCCTGGAAAGAATACGTAGAATGTTTGGAAACTTTCAGAAGTATTATGAACGCTCTTCTGGTCCGTAGCTGCATGTCTTTCTCCTGAAGTACATTTTTAGGGGACTCGTTTTTGAAAACAGCTTTTCTAAATATTAAATGCTGTTGATGTATAATTTCTATGACCCTTGCTTTAGAAATGGTACAGTGCTCACTGTCTGACCTGTGAGTATGTTTCAATTAAATTCAGTAAATATTTAATGAGTACTTTCTGTGTACCGTTCAGAAGGGAATAAGGCATGGAGGGGACGAACTGAAAAGGACATACATGTATACAAGGCAGAAAAGGTATGTCCTTCAGACGTCCAGGTGGGAAAGGTTTCATGAAGGGACTGGTATCTGAAGACAGGCCTCAGAGTCTAAGTGCTGTTAAGACGACATTAGTTTGGTCGTTTGGCAGGAAACTCAGGAACACCCAATCCTGCCTTGCCCCTGCCTCTGCTTCTCAGGGTCCCTGAGAGGAGCATCTCCTTTTGTGAAGGAAAGGAGTTGGTGAGGGCTTGTGCTCCCTCACTCCCCTCTGGTGGTGTGGAAGCAAAAAGGAAAGAGCCAACCAGGTCCTTGGGCACGCCCTCCACCTCCTCATTCCTTAGACCCTGTTTTTTGACCCCTCCTCGGGCAGAAGAAGGGCAGAAGGAGCTGAGAGCAGCGCAAGAGGGAGGAGACCTGGGCTGCCCCTGGTCCCCACTGGGGTTTAGACATGACGTGAGCAGAATTACTGAGGAGTTGGCATCCCAAGAGGATGTCCAGCATTCCCACAGAAGTGACTGTGGAAAAGTAAGGGGGTGGTGACATGCGATCTTGGGAACAGCGGCAGAGACATCCCCCAGGATCTCGTGAGAAACACACGTTCTTGGCCATCTTCCAGATGTGCTGAATCAGAAACTGTGGTGGTGGGTGGGGCCTGGCAGGCTGTGTCTTAAAGAAACTCTCCAGCAGATTCTGACGCGAGGCTAAGTTTGAGAACCACTGGTTTGAGGAAGGCTGCAATATAGACGTGGTGTCCTGCAAAAGGGAGCGATGCAGATACCACAGGGGGCTGGTGGGTGGAACGACGGTGGCCTTACGGAGTCACTCTTTTATGGGAGAGTATCACCTATTAATTTTTTTAGTTTAAAGAGAGCTTTCGGACTTTTTAGGGGTTTAGATCAGGTCATCAGTAACTAATCTTAGGGCATTAGCAAAGAATAAATCCGCTCATAAAGAAACACCCTGGGGAGACCGGGAGAGCATTAGTTATCTGTCCTAAAAGGATTACATTTGCTTCCCATCAAGTCTCTACTGATGTGACAGTGCATTAGCAGGCCTGAATGAAATCCATCAGAGCAACTCATTATAGCCTTTTTTACTGCCCAAAACCAGACTTTGCCTCCAACAAGGGTAAATCCTGATTATATTTAAATGTTAGACTCTTGAATGCTGCTTCTTTGATGGCATGGAAAGCAGCTGTCTTTTGCAGTGGACCTGGAAGCCTGGCCCGGCGTCCCAGCTCTGGGTCACCAGGGGAGACTGAGCCCAGGGGGCGGACACTTCTGTTCAGTGTCCTTTGTCTACTCGTCGGGCGGTACTTGTAAAAACTGTCCTCGGAGGTTGTACTGGTCAAAGCATCTTTTGAGACCCAGACCTGTGCCTTATGGAGGTGAAGAAATCAGCTCGTGATTGAAATACTTAGGCATCCAAGTCGGGGCTGTGACTTCCAGGGCGAGTAAGGACCCATCATTTCCCAGGAAAGCACCTGAAGGGCACGTGGTCGCAGGTTCTGAATGGAGTCTTGGAAAGAGTGCTGGGCGTAACCATGGGTCCAGCACTCTGAGCCTGAGTTTCTTCTCTGTTTCCTTAATGAGGATGATGGTGAGACCATAATAATAGTAGTTGTCCTTTATTTAATACTTTCTGTATTTCTAATTCTGTCGCGCTGCCTGGGGGAATCTGAGAAGAGTGAGTGGGGGTGGGGGGGCGGGTGCAGAGGTCAGAGGTCAGCATGCGGTAGACTCGCAGGAAGCCTCTGCTTCCTGGTCTCTGTCCTCTGAATTGCTGATCGCCTCGCACACTTAACAAGTGTTTTCAATTGTAGTAAAATACGCAGAACCTACAATTTACCATCTTAACCGTACAGTTCAGTGGTATTAAATGCGTTCACAATATTGTACAACCGTTGCCACCGTCCATCTCCAGAACTGCTCTCACCTTGTAAAACAAACCCTCTGCATGCCTTAAACCCTAACTCCCCGTTTCTCCCCTCCCCCAGCCCCTGGCAGCCACCATCCTACTTTCTGTCTGTGAATTTGACTGTTCTAGGTATCTCATGTAAGTTGCCTCATACAGTATTTGTCTTTTTGTGCCTGACTTATTTCACTTAGCACAGTGCCTGCAAGGTTCATTCATATTGCAGCAGGTCTCAGAATCCCCTTCCTTTTTAAGGCTGAATAATGATACATTATTTATACTCCATTTTGTTTACCCATTTATCTGCCGATGGACACTTTGAAACATTTATTTATTTGGCTGTGCCGGATTTTAGTTGTGGCATGTGGAATCTTCCTTGTGGCATGCGGGATCTTTAGTTGCAGCATATGTGATCTAGTTCCCTGACCAGGGATCGAACCTAGGCCCCCTGCATTGGGAGCATGGAATCTTAGCCACTGGACACTTGGATTGCTTACCATTTTGGCTGTTGTGAATAACACTGCTATGAACGTGGGGGTACAAATATCTCTCTTCAAGACCCTGCTTTCACTTCTTTTGTGTATATATCCGGAAGTGGAATTGCTGGATCATATGGTTATTCTGTTTAAATTTTTTTTTTTCCATAACAGCTGCACATTTTACACGCCCACCAACCGTGCACAGGGTTCCAGTTTCTCCACATCCTCTCCAGTACTTGTTACTTTCTGTTAAAATAAAAATGGCATCTGTTAAAATAAAAATGGCATTTTAATAATCAAGCAAAAATGACAGGCAGATCTGAAGACCAGTTTTTAGAAGTAAAAACTGTAATTATTAAAATGAAAAACTGAGTGTTTGGTATAAATAGCATTTAAGATACAGATTAAGAGAGAATTAATGAACTAGAAGAAAGATTGAAGAAGTTACTACTAAATTTGCAGCAGAAAGACATAATGAGATTTAAAAATATGAGAACAAGGCTATGAACAATGGTGGCTGGAGTGATGGGGTGTAACGAATCCAGTTAGGACCCCTTGACCTATTCTGGTTTTGGAATTTGCTATCCCATAAGGTTTTGGGGAGGATCAACTGTGGTGATATCTGTGAAAATATTTTGAAACACTGTAAAGCACTACACAAATTTAAGGGAGGGGAATTTTCTAGAAAATACATTTTAAACTACAGTAGAACCCCTTTACCCGCAGTTTCACTTTCTGAGGTTTCAGTTACCCAAGGTCAACTGTGGTCCAAAAATATTAAATGGAAAATTCCAGAAATAAACAGTTCATAGGTTCTAAATTGTGCGCTGTTCTGAGTATTGTGATGGAATCTCACGCCGTCCCACCCAGGATCCCTAGCCATTGACATCGTCTGCCCCTGATATCCAGCCATCAACATCCTCATGGCTCAGTGATCCAGGATCACCTTAAGTAGATGGTCCTCCTTTATATGTTAGAAGGTCGATAGCAGCCTGCGTCACAAGGCCTACATTGTTCACCTCACTTCATCTCATCCCATAGGCATTTTATCATCTCACATCATCACAAGAAGAAGGGTGAGTACAGCACACTAAGGTATTTTGAGAGGCAGAGAGACCACATTCACATAACTTGTATTACAGTGTATTACTATAGTTGTTCTATTTTATTACTAGCTATTGTTGTTAATCTCTTACTGAGCCTAATCTATAAATTAAACTTTATCATAGGTATGTATGTATAGGAAAAAAACATAGTATATGTATAGGGTTCAGTACTACCCGTGGTTTCAGGCATCACTGGGGGTCTTGGAATGTATCCTCCACAGATAGGGGCGGGGGGGTTACTGTAATGAAAACAATGTCTTTTCTTATTTAGAATCTGTACCAAAAGCAAGGTCAATGAAAAATCCTTATTTTTCTAGTCATTTAAACTTTAAGGGACCTAAAAAATAGATTTATAACTTGTTCTTTTTGTTGTTGCCACTGTAGTCATTCGAATATACATGATAAACTTGTAGATCTGAGAGGCAATAGAGCAGTGAAGATTATGTGAATCCTTTTAATGAAGTTATTTGCTCCATGGTAAATAAATGCATCAATTTTTGTTGCAACCCAGATACTCATAATTATTGACATTTCAAAGTGATAATCCATTTGTAACTGATCTGTTTATTTCCTTTAGCAAAATATTAGAAAAGTAAGTTGAAATAAGGTCCCCCCAAAGAGAGGCTATTTAAGGGAGCAGAAAACCAAGGAGAAATTGCCCACCTCCAGGGATGTGACCTATGATAGGCCTAAGGCAGGCAGGAAATGCTGACAAGCAGTGAAGTGACAGATCAACTGCATGTTCTTGGCACTTCCCAGTTTAGGCAACATTTAATTGCTTAATACCCTGAATGCCATTTCTGAATATTCTGGTTGGGGTGTTTCTTTCAGAAGTGCTGGTCATTTGTCAGGTTTATGAACTGCTTCGCCTGTTGTGTTCAGATAGAGGCTGTTTTGCTCGAAGAGACGCTGCCTGTTCTCTTCAGGAGCATTTCCATCTTACGTGGGCATTGGGTGTCTGGAGGAGACGGGAGAAAAAATGCCAGTCTAGGGTAAGAT